CAATACAGAAAAATTGCTGTAAGTATGGTCGCCCTAGTGTAATAATATTTTAATCACTAAAAATAAATGTTAAAAATATTGTGTTTTAGGTTTCCTTTGTGCTGGATTATAATTCTAGTAAAAATCTCAGGAATTTTAGAAGCTAAAGTTAATACATAATTGGTTGAAGAAGAATATATAACACCTGAGATTATTTCTTTTTCTTTCATAGCAGAATATCATGCTAAAAAACATTGTTCTGTATAAGTTGAACATCCATTATTAAGTATAAAATTTGTAAAAGTCAAAATAAATGTTATTATTTATTTAAAAAAACAAAGTAAGTAAAAATCAACTAAAAATAGGTGCAATGATTTAAACGAGCATACTTTTTATTTTCTTTATATATATATATTATTTTCTTAATAATAATTAAACAAGTAAATTTATTATCTACAAAGTTATTTTTACGGAAGAAACTATGTAATTAAGTTCACATATTTATTTGTTTACAGTACGCTACTGATATATAAAGTTCTAAATGGTTAAAATATCAAAATAAAATAAAAAAGAAATTAATAAAATTGTCACAGTATAAAAATGAAGTCAATAGTGTAATAAAAGTTGACACTTTAAAAAATAAACCTTTTAAAATGTCAATTTGAAAAATACTAGTAAGTCTGGCAGGAACAAGGAATCTAATAAAGTGTACCAGGCTGTCACTATCAATCAAACCGTTCAATAACTTATACAGGAAAACAAATGATGCTTCTCGACATCTGCATTCCAAACTCTTATAGGTCCCTCTCAAAAATAACATCAAGATCATTTATAGTTTGCACAAAACTTAGTTCAGAACCTGCAATGACAATCATGCATAATGATATTAGCTGTTTTATTAAACCTTATGACTTTACATTTATCAATATTCAGTTTATATCATATTAAAACTATGATTAGTACCAGTTGTAGGCAAATATCTTTTTTTAGCATCCTACAACTGCCATCTTAATAAAAATCTAGTGACTTTTGAAATATACCGTATATAAATACACTTTTTACTACTTTTGTACAATCGTGCACCATTTTAGCTACCAGTGAACCTTTGCAATATAGGTACCTTATTATACTCTTTCGTGCAAGCGTTCAGTGTTTTCGATTCTAGTGAACCTTTGAGATATTCCTTATATACCCTTTATACCAACTTTTGTCCAATTTGTCAGTGTTTTTTTTACCTATATTATTAATACCTACCTCTACTTGTATGATATTGGTTCTTGATTTCAAAAGCTTTTTAATAATAAATTTATACAATTTTTTATTTTGTTTTCTTCAGATTTTACTATATCCTCAATATACTATTTTGAATATAGTGTATCCAAGGATGGACATAACTATACTTGTAAAGATATTTATTTTAAATTTTTCAAAAGGTCTTTTTCATAATTTCTCAACGTTAATCGTATTTATTTAACAAGCAAAAGAAATTATGAAGAAGTACTTTTAAATTTAAAATAAATATTTTTAAAAGTATTGTTAAGTCCATCCGTGGACACACTGTATAATGCTGTAGAATGAATTCACATTATAACATCTATAGAAAGTTTCAGAGCAACTTTCAGGGTAAGTACCGTAAAAGTGCTAGTGTGATGTTTTCCGAACTTCACTTTTTAACTTCTGTGAGATGTGCTATAAAAGTCTTGCCGTTGCGGACATTCGGTGGTTGCAGGGATGATAGGGTTACATTAACAGTACATTGCATGCGAGCTTAAAGAGCCTAAAATTGCAGCTTATTAACGTAGATGGGATGTTTTTGTGCTAGCTGGGCTTCTATATGGTTAGTATTGGAGTAGAAGCACAAAAGTTTTGAATAAAAATATATTCTTTAAATACAATATTCACTAGATATGCTAATTTTCTATTTGAAACCATACATGTTTTCTATTATAGTTTTCATACGTTTATAATTCTGGAGATACCTGAATATTTTGCTTGATTACTAAACTTTGGATGTTTTTGTTGTAGTCTGCTGTTAACACTATTGTCCTGAAATATTAAAAAAGCTAGACAAAGGTTTGTCCAACTCTTTTGTCAGCTTTGTTAATCTATGCTACTGTTATTCTGCATGTAGACATTTTTTACTGGAGATTTTCTCTAAGAACTGTATTCAATTTCAAATTTCGGCCAGTTTTAGGAAAGTACCTCTGTTGTAAAGGTATTTCAAAGCCATCCTTTGTGAGATGTAGACAACAAATACATGCTAAAATGTATAGAAAACAAATCGCAAGATATTACACAAATTTAAATTAACTAAAAACATACAAATGAAGTGAATAATACCTACCAACAATTTAAAAAGACCTAAAATAAATAGACTTAAGGGACTGGAGCTCTAAAAAAGGGAGCAATAATTTGTTATGCATCATCTATAAGAAAATTGTCTTCATCTCTTTAATTACCTTTTAAAATAAACAAAACCAAAACAGCACAAAATTGAATGTGATCTACTTTTCCCGACGTATTCTATGTACGTCTGAGATTAATAATTTATTAAATTGAAATATTTTATCCTAAAAAATGTGGGCATTTTATAATGGAAATGTCATTTAAAAAATGACATAGATTTTTTTTCTTATATTGGTAAACCTGGCGACTACAAGTTGCCACGTTGCCAGATCAATGGCGACTACTATGTGACCAGGGCTGGTATATCTAAGGGGGTCGCGACATAGACCCAGTAAATGGATGAGGGGGTGACTGAGGCTAGGGGGGAAATAGTAGTCAGCTTAAGTTGGCAACACTTTTCTGACGTTCGTTTGAACGAGCATCGTGCATAATAATGTCAATATGGTACAAGTGGAATGAACCACTGTTTTCCTCGTAGTCCAATGTCGAATTAAAACTAAAAACATTTTTTACTTTTTTATATACCAAATTATGCAATTTGTTTCCACTTTATTTTAATGTTACATGAATAGGTACATGCGTTTGTGCTGTGGTAAATAAGTGTTCATGTGAAAATTATCTCTTAAACTACATTGTGATTGCACTCATCTCAAAACTGAATGCTGTAAATCCAGGATTTAAATCTTTCATAGTGTTGCTTGGGATAAATTGTAAAAAAGGTGTTGGACAAAACGTTTACAACCTAAAATTGCATGAAAAACATGACAGAAGAAGGAATTTTACCTTTATGACATTCTCTTTCAACATTTTTAAGTGACTTTGTGGTTTGGTGAATGGACTGTTACCACAGTCAAAAGATTCAAAGTAAAAATAAAGTGACCAAGTTCAAGTTCTAATAAGAATACATAAGTTGAATATGAAAATGTAATTACTTGATTTAAATGTGATTTAATTAAGAGTGAAATAGAGGTTTCATATAAACAAAGTGCTGTAAAATGTTAATAAATGCAAAACCATTATTAAAGAGAAATTAGTTATCATCAATAAGATATTTTGTAGTAGCTGGTCTCTATAAATAATAAACTTGAAAGACTGAATTAGTAGTCACTTTTACACTAGAAGTAAAAACAAAAAAAAAATGTGTGGTTGAGACTAATTTATGTATTTAATAAAAACATTTAACATAAAAGCAGGTGTTATTTGAAATGTTTTATTTTAGTTTAATAATCTTTATAAATTGTGGGTACATTTGATCCGAATCTTGCAAATACTATAAAATGCATATGCTTCTATTTAGTATTGGAGTAGAAGCACAAAAGTTTTGAATAAAAATATAGATACCAGAATATTTTGCTTGATTACTAAACTTTGGATGTTTTTGTTGTAGTCTGCTGTTAACACTATTGTCCTGAAATATTAAAAAAGCTAGACAAAGGTTTGTCCAACTCTTTTGTCAGCTTTGTTAATCTATGCTACTGTTATTCTGCATGCAGACATTTTTTACTGGAGATTTTCTCTAAGAACTGTATTCAGTTTCAAATTTCGGCCAGTTTTAGGAAAATACCTCTGTTGTAAAGGTATTTCAAATCCATCCTTTGTAAGATGTAGACAACAAATACATGCTAAAATGTATAGAAAACAAATCGCAAGATATTACACAAAATTATTTAAATTAACTAAAAACATACAAATGAAGTGAATAATACCTACCAACAATTTAAAGAACTAAAATAAATAGACTTAAGGGACTGGAGCTCTAAAAAGGGAGCAATAATTTGTTATGCATCATCTATAAGAAAATTGTCATCTCTTCAATTACCTTTTAAAATAAAATAAACTAAAACAGCACAAAATTGAAAGTGATCTACTTTTCCCGACGTATTTTATGTACATCTGAGATTAATAATTTATTAAATTGAAATATTTTTTCCTAAAAAATATGGGCATTTTATAATGGAAATGTCATTTAAGAAATGACATTGATTTTTTTTTATATTGGTAAACCTGGCGACTACAAGTTGCCACGTTGCCAGATCAATGGCGACTACTATTTCAAAAAAAATGGCGTCCAAAATGGACTCCTATGTCGCGACCCCCTTAGATATACCAGCCCTGTATGTGACTACTATTTCGAAAAAAATGGCGTCCAAAATGGACTCCTATGTCGCGACCCCCTTAGATATACCAGCCCTGATATGACGTATCCTTACGTTGCCTTATCAATGGGCGTGTCGGACCTCTCTCTTGCCCCGTATAGTAATCAAATGCTGCGTTTGAGAATCCACATCGGATGCATCTGAGATGTAGTAAATCTTTGATCACGTGATTCAGTGTACGTAAATGTAATGGGACAGATGTGTCAAATGTGGATAAAAAAACGCTCGAGATGTAAAAAATGCATCCGATGTGGATTCTCAAACGCGGCATACGTATGTGATTCCCTTCGTTTATCTGAGCATCTTTCAAACATGTTTCAAATAATGTCATATATATGTCATTGGTTTTAAACCATTTACACATATGTCATTATTTTATTACTTGACATTTATAGAGTTTATAGAGTTTATTTATTAAATATTATTTTGAGAATTTTATTGAAATAAGTACCAATCTCAATGTCACAAAGTCGTACAACCTCCCGATTAAGTACCGAGGCCTCAAAAACCAGTAAACAAACAAGAAAATACTTTATTTCACAACAAGGAAGTTCCAAACAAGGAAAATCAGATGCCTACAAAATGGTACATTATAATTTTAACTATATATTAGTTAAATTCTAAAAAGGTTAGTAAATATTGCGAAGACCCATTTTCCTAAAAGTACATTTTTTATACAAAACCTACACTTTAGGCTTTAGGACAGAGTAATTTTCAAATATACCACCGGAAACTTGATAAAATAATGTTTTTGTTTTTTAATTTATATAGTAAGGGCTTATGAGGATTAATAAGTGATCATTTATGTAAACTTACTTATTATAATTAAGAATTATATCTGTCATGCGCTATCAATACAAATATACTCGATGTTGCCAAGTGTTTAAAACCAACGAAAAAGAAATATACTAAATTGCCTTATTTTCGACATAACATTCCCAAACACTTCTGACGATTTATCCATTTTGATTAAATTGTTGTAGTACATAATAATTAAATAATAATATTATATCATCTATAAAGTAATAAACAATGTACTGTGAGTTCGTTTATTTTAAACAACAGTTTATTTATTAATAATTTATTTATTTTATAACACTACTATTCTAATTCATATATATTTCGAATGTCTTTAAACTGTTCACTATTTATCTTCACTATCCATATATCTAATGACCTTTTGTTGATCTTCCACCAATATTTATAAACAAATTGGTGATTCCAGAATGCTTCTCCACCAAAACATTTCATATCCGAAATATACCAGAAACATTATCACGATGACTCATGAATGTTTGCGAAAGTGCCTCCACCATAGTCTTCACATATGTTTGGTCTTAAGGGGTTTAATTATATATGATAATCGGACAAGTTGAGCCTCAAAGGCCAAATAAGACAGAGAGGGACTTGGAGGATTAGAGCATAACTGAATATTAAAATGGCTTACATAACATTGCCCCCTCCTTAAGAGATAGTTTCTCCTTGAACTCTTACGAAACTAAACTGGAATGGTTGTATCTGCAACTAAATCCTCTTTTACAATTTCCAGTTGCATGGAAGTAACAAGAACTGTAACCTGGGCACTGGGCGAATGGCTGCAGACCAGTATTTGGACTCCGGTATCTTGATAGATTACTTCCACCATGTTCCTAATGATCCTCCAATCCAGCTGATTTCCTTCTATCTTTGGCATGGCTAGTTTCTGTACATTAGACTCTAGTATGTATTGCCTTAGACTGAGCAATGATTCCCATACATCCTGATAAGTATATCGATCTCGAAATGTGTTCTTCGTTACCAAATAGAAAAGGTAGCGCGATTCGTCTTGAAATTTCAAGGTAATTGACGTTGAAGTTCTAGCAGTCGACCAAACTTTTTACGAAGCACATACGCCAATACTCGCACGTCGTTGATGCTGGCGGAATTAATATGGACCAGCGAGTAAACTTTCGAAAGCGAAAGCGGATCTTGTTGTTACTCGGTCGTAACAGCATGTCTGGCTTTTCCAGTACCTCCATATGCACCCATTAATTCTTCAAAGACAAGGTCTGGTGTTTCTTGAAGTTGGTTTACTTCTTCTTCATGGTCATCCTCAAATGGCGCCAGCCTGTTTTGGTGCACTACCTTCGGTTTTCCGTTTGGGATCTTACTTATACGGTAAATTACATCATTTATTTTATTCTTGATTAGAAACTAAAGTTTCTCTAGATATTTCTTCCTTAGAAAGTAAAGTTTCTTCAGACATTTCTTCCTTAGATAGTAAAGTTTCTTCTTTAGAAGAAAAGGTGACTTCTAACATATCTTCTTTAAAAACCGAAATTTTTTTCGACTTGGAAAACAAAATGTCTTCTATGGAAAATAAATTTACGTCTAATATTTCTTCTTTAGAAGAAAAAGTGTCTTCCGAAATGTTTTCTATGAAAAACAAAATTTCTTCTATGGATGATAAAATGTCATCCGTCGAAGAGAAAATAAAAGAAATGGAAAAGAAGATAGAAGAACTGGAACATACAGAACTGGCCAAGGACGGTAAAATAAAGTGCCATGAGGTAGTGTCGAAGTTGAAATTCGAAGGAGCTGTAAACTCTCCTCGTGTTAAAGCCCCAACTTTTGACGGGAATATGTCACGGACGAACTACCTTAAGCAGTTCGAAACAGCTGCCAGAGCAAACGAGTGGTCTGAACGAGAAAAGGCAAAACATTTGATCATCGTCTTTCGAGGAGACGCTTTGGATGTCCTTCAGACTATACCCGTAGAAGAGACAGATGATTTTGAACAACTCAAAAAGAGACTATATATACGATATGGCCACGAACACTTGGAGCATTTATACCAGTCACAATTGAAGAATCGTAAACAGAAACGAGACGAGACTCTTTAGGAATATGAAGTAGATATTTCCAGGTTGGTGCGATTTGCCTATCCATCAGTTCCGGAAAACATGATGGAATGTTTGGCAGTCCAAACATTTGTTGATGGACTCCGTGACCACGAGATGTAGAAAACACTTCGACTAGCCCGTCACAAAACATTGGTCGATGTCTTGTCCACTGTTTTAGAATATGAGGCAACTACGCAGGCTTCTGGTGGATACAGTAAAGTAAGGACCGTAAAAGAAGAAGAAGAAGAGGAAGGTAAACTCAACCAACTGGTAAACATGATAAAGAGCCTTACTGACAGAAAGATAAAGACAAAGGCCATCAGGTGCTGGCATTGTGGTGAACTAGGACATGTACGCAGTTCATGCAAACGTCCAAGGGTAACAACGAATCAAGACAACACGCCGCAGGAAAACTAGAACGTGTCGGCCTAGAGGGGGCTATGACCCGAAACCGTTTCAAAGACCCTCTTATACTGATAGCCTCTTTGAAATGTCGCTATGATAGTGTATACGTAGACACCGAAGTAAATGGCAAAAAGTATACACTGTTGGTGGATACTGGAGCAACTAGGACTATTATACGACCAACAACTATAAATAATCGTAAGAAACTTCTACCAACAAGATTGCGACTACGGACTGCCACAGGTGAAAGTGCCAACATCCATGGGGAAATCCAGGTTCAGTTGGGAATTGGTACAGAAAAGTTCACTTATACTGTTATTGTCGCTGATATCAAAGAAGATGTTATTCTTAGAATGGATGTAATGAAATTACATTGTTTCCAGTTGAACTTTAAAAACAGAATGATAAAAGTCGGTGAAGAAGAGGTATTCCTATCTCCATATGGGGAGAGTACTGTGCCAGTTGCTGTACAGGAGGATACGGTGGTACCTGGCAGAAGTGAAACCGTTAGAGTAGCACGGCTTCAAGAAACTATGGAAGAAGGAACACCTGTCATGATGGAACCTTGGAACCACGATAAAGAGGTTCGACGAGGAATTCTGATCGGAAAGGGGTTGGTCGCGACTGCTAAGGAGATTCCAGTTCGTCTTATAAACGTTAATGATCACCCAATTACCATCAAGAAAGAGACCAGAATCGGAACTTGTGTACCAGTAACTTCCATAATTCGTCAGACAACAACTTCTGATAATTCCAACGATAAATTTGAGCAAATGATTGCAGTTGCTGGTCAATCACTGAATCAATTAGAGAAAAAGAAAATAAAGAAATTTTTTCGACGATATCGTAACATTTTTGTGCCAAAAGGAGGAAAAACCGAAAGAACTTATGTCGTAAAACACAAAATTGACACTTGTAAGGCCAGGCCGATTCGTCAATCAGCTCGAAGATTACCAAAGGCCAAGAGAGAGGAAGCTGAAAGGATTATTCAGGAAATAAAGGAAGACAGGGTGATAGAACCTTCTACCAGCCCATGGGTCTCTCCGGTAGTCCTGGTCCAAAAAAAAGATGGAATTACGAGGTTCTGTGTGGATTACCGTCAGTTGAACAATGTAACCAAGAAATACACTTATCCTTTTCCTCGAATCGACCATACCTTGGACACATTGGCCCGAAATAAACTATTTTCTACCTTAGACCTAAAGTATGGATATTGGCAGGTGGAAATGGACCCAGTAGACAAAGAAAAGATAGCTTTTACCATCGGATCTGGATTGTGGCAATTTAATGTCATGCCATTTGGACTATGTAATGCCCCCGCGACATTTGAAAGACTTATGGAAAAATGTATTAAGAGGGCTATCTTGGAAAACATGCCTGGTTTATTTAGACGACATAATAGTCTTGGGAAGACATTTGATGAACATCCAAAGAACTTAGATGTTTTTAAAAGACTTTAAGCCGCCCAACTGATGCTAAACCCCAAAAAATGCCAGCTATCCTAAAATAAAGTCAATTACTTGGGCCATATAGTCAGTAAGGATGGCGTGGCTGTAGATAAGGAAAAAGTCGCTCCTATTAAAGAGTGGCCACAACCAACTGATAAACACCAAATGAGAAGTTTTCTTGGGCTTTGTACGTACTACCGAAGATCCATAAAGAAGTTTGCAGATATTGCTAAACCACTAACACGACTAACAGAAGAAGCAAGAGAATTCTGCTGGGACGGGTACTGCGAAACTGCCTTTGAAACATTAAAGAAGCATTTAACAACAGCACCAATACTAGGCTATGCACTACCAGAGGGAAAATTTATCCAGGATACTAATACTAGTAATGTGGGAATTGAAGGAGTGCTTTCACAGATTCACGAAGGGAAAGAAAGAGTACTAGCTTATTTTAGTCAAGTGCTTTCGAAACCTGAACGAAATTACTGAGTCACAAGAAGAGAACTCCTGGCAGTTGTAAAGTGCGTGAAATATTTCTACCAATACCTGTACGGAAGAAAATTTTTAATCCGCCCTTAAGTGGCTGATGCAGTTCAAAAACCTAGAGGGTCAAATAGGCAGATGGATTGAACTACTTTAAGAGTACGACCTTAAGATCGAACATCGAGCCGGAATAATTGAAGAAATGCCAATCCCCTTTCTAAAAAACCGTGTCCAGCAGAGTGATCCCACTGCAACAAAGCGGAATCCAAAGAAAGTGGACTACTAAGAACAACTGTAGTCAACGATGAGTGGGCCCCTGTTAAAAAGAACAAGAGAACGATACCGTTTTAAAGAAGATGCGACAATG